TTTTTTTAATATACGCGTCAGCTTTCTGGGTGATTTCCGCCCATTTTGAGCGGAAATTAGTTTCTATAAAATGTGGTACTTTTCTGTACTTTATAGAATTTTTTCCTATGATTTTTTTTGAACCAAACACGGTTTATAGAAATCCACAGAAAAGTTTTATTTACAAAATTGCCACTATCAGGTATTTTCTATAAAGTTTTCTATAAAACCCCTCAACCAAGCAGCCCCTAAAAGTGTAGTTGTGGTGAAGCATTGATAGATTGGAGGAAAGAGTAAAATTTTAAGTGAAGAATACTAAATTGATTTTGTCTGCCATCTCCCCTATGTATAATAGTTAAAGCCCCTTTTCTGCCACCTCCACTAAAAAGCCCCAGAACCAGTTCTTTAAAATACAGGTTAATTAATTAGACAAGTACAAGTAGATGTTGAATTTTATTTAATCTGGATTTCCTTTGTGAGTCTTCAATAAAGAATCACGTAATAAAACCGATTCTATTGACTTGGGTCGATTTTCACGGGTCCATATTTTATGCAAGTAGACAAGGGACTACATCGGCCCAGCCACTATCGTATCCACCAACTTGGTTGGTCAAAACTCAAAACAATGATGCATTCAAGTTTCCAACCAATTAAACTCTAATCTCATTGGGGGAAAAAAAAAAAAAATTATAATAATAATAAAAGAAAGGAGCGAGGATATTGTCTAACCATCAATTTCGGAAATTTCGAATTTCACACGGTAATACGGAGAGATCGAGATATCACGGTAATACCGAATTTCAGACGGTAATACTAAATTTAAATTAAAGTATAGGTTAAGTTAAGTGATAAATAAATATATATATTTTAAATTCGACGATTGTATTCAAGTGATGTGATCTGATACCATGTTTTATCTGAAAACTTAAATTGGAAAGTTAAAAATACCTACCGGATCAAATCAATTGGACGTGTGATCTTCTGCGGTTTTAGGCTAGTGCAAATAATGCATTTGGGTTAGGTCTAAACATGATGTTAGTTTTGAAGATAAATTTAAAGGTTATTTAGATATTAGTCCCTCAAAACTTCAATAATTCGGTATTAGTCTCTCAAATCTCAGTAATCGCACATTAATCCCTCAAATCCTAGTGTTATTGCACTTTCGTCCATCAATGACCAATATACCCTCCGCTAATGATTTTTAGGGGTTATTTGCAATTTGACGTTATAAAGTTTACACCTTTGCAAACTTTGATACCCAAAGTTTTTTGACACTTTTGATTCCCCAGAGTTTGCACCTAGCTCTTTTGAACTTTGATGATACCCAAATATTCTTTTTGACACTTTGATACCCAAAGTTTACACATTTTTATTTTAATACCCTAAAGTTTGCGGTGTCAAAGTTTCTGAAACAATACTTTTGGGTATCAAAGTGAAAGAAAATATAAAGTACTTTGCCTTAACAATTAAAAGCGATAGAAAAAAGTTTAAGGTATACAATTTAAAGAGGATGTAAACTTTAGGGTATCAAGGTGTCAGAGAAACTTTAGGTTATTAAAGCTAAACATAATGTAGATCTAAAGTATTAAAGTGCAAATAAGCCTTTTTACCCGCCTTAAGAAGACGGTGGTTTGTGAGACAAATCATCGTAACTAAGGGGTATTTGGGTTGGTAAAGGGCCAAACTGCTAGAGCGCCCTTAGGATTTGAAAGACTAACGATCGAGCAATTATTATGACTCGCGGGAGTAATACGTATGGAATTATTGGAAGGGTTTCTTTTTTCCTCCTCTAAACCACCACACACACACGTACATGCACGCTGAATCCCGTACGTAAATAGAGGATTCGGATCATCTTTACTACAAAAAAAAAATAGTGGATGGACCACTATATAATCACAGCCATTGATTATCTAGTTGATGGTTATGATTTTTTTTTAGTGCAAATTAGGAATGAGTGTAATATACGGGGTATGGTAAGTGTTAGATTTAGATTGTATCATAACCGCGTACTAAATAATCAACGTTTGAGATTAAAAGTAGTGGTCTCTCCACTATTTTTTTGTAGTGGAGAGGATCCAAATCCGTAAATAGAATAGACTTTAGCGGAAGACGATATGTATGCATCTTCCCACAAATGGTAACGGACAGGGCGTACGTACGGTGTTGTCTCCATTCCTCGTCGCATCACGTGGGAAAACCCGTGAAGAACTTATCGATCGAAATGGGAACATACACACTACGTATATAGCATAGATTTGCAAAAGAGGCGCGCGGTCAGCTAACGGACAATTTCCCCCTTTCGGTCGACTAATTTGACTTCTCAACCAACACGGCCGGGGGGAGGAAATTTTCACTCGTTTGAGACACAACTAGTGCCGCGAAGTTTAAGATTTAGACAAGCCATAGCATGTATGTATCCCACGTAGGGGGTGCATTCGGTCCGGATACGGGCACGGATACGATGCTTACCGTATCCATATTCGCTTACCCAAGTTTGGTGGACAACTTTTTGCTATCCGGCTACTTAAGTTTGCACAAGTTTTGCTTTATAAATTTAATTAGGGAGAAGGCTGCTCGAAGTTTCTTGATGGGGGGATGGATGGATGGATGGATCAGCCACGTGGAGCTGAATAGTCATTCAGAGACTAGGTCACGGTAGAAGCTAGCTCCGGCACGGCCGCAATTCATCATCGTTATAAAAACATGGAGGTCATGTTTGAAAGTTTTTAACTACGTACCGAACCAACCATTGAACCCCACATACATTATCATCAATCATTAATATTTATAACACGGAAGGAAATGTAAGTTAGCATCTTAATTAATTGGCCCTCACGACATAAACATAAAAAAGAATAATATCCCAGTAGCACGTTGACATCAATTGCAGCTTAAAGTTGTGTTCGCTTGGTCCTCATTTACAGGGTTTAAGCGCGTAATTAAATAAGCGTCGACGTATGTGAAAGCAACGTGTATTAATGCATACACATAAAACATACATGCAACTATTCATACCCTGTTTTTTTTTTTTTTTAATTTTTGTTGTTGTTACGCATTACAGAAATTAAGGAGAATAATGATAAAATAGTATAGTTGCCAATAATACAGAATCATCAATATCGTCATCGTCGTCAAGTAAAAATCGACGGTACGATTATAAATACGCCAAGGAAAAACATTTACTTTTAGTGCTATAAATAAACAGGGAATTTATTTCTAAGATTTTTCGAATGGTATTTTAGGGAAGAATGAAAGCAAATGAGGATCATGGTATTCATTTATTTCTCCACAAAATAATCACCGGCCCATTACTTTTGTTTTTTTTCCTTCCCTGTTTTAAAATAGAGCCTATAGCTCTCTAGCATGTGGAAAATGACCAAGTTGCCAATATAAAATAGCGTTGTTAGTTGTTACCCCCATCATCAAATTCCAAATAGGAAACTTCAAAAACTTCACCCTCTTCTCCTATTTTCGCTTTTATTAAAGTAACATTTATTATCTCGTAGCTGCCAAGTTTTTATTGTCCCTTTCCCTTCCCAATTTATCCCTGCAAACAAACAAATGGTGAATATCCCAGTTGTATGCCACTGGGCCCCGCTCCCTTGTTCTGCCACTGCCTCCAACAGCAGCCTCTGTTCCAATGTAGGCCCGCCACGTGCTACAATTCCCCCCTCGGATAGCCTGTACGCTGTTCTGTGTAAGCAGATTTTACAAAAATGCGCTTCATAAAGTGTCGCGCCATCTAAAAAGAACCCCTTGCTTCTTGTTTCTGACTGCTGCCTCCTCCCGCGGGCCCCGCTCGATTTCTCTTCTTTTTAAGAATAAACATAATAAATAAATAAAAATGTAAAAAAGAAGCCTCTTTTTTTTTTCCTTGCACTTTCCTTTTTCTTTCTCTCTGATCTGATGCCTGACGGTAACAAAACCCCAAATTATCTTCTCTCTATAAATTCTCTACCCCCTAAATCCCTTTTATCTTTTACTTTAAAAGATTCTTTTGTGCTTTTTATAGATCCGTACTCCCTCTCTCTCTCTCTCTCACTATAAATCCTCGAGAAAATAATTTTGGATCCTTGCGAGATCGAAAATTGACCGATCTCAATCCTGAGCCATGGGCCAGTGCTACGGCAAGAACAACCCGGT